TACCAGACAGGCTAAAACCATACCTACTATGGTGGACTCAGAAGTCGAATGTTTGCGGCGGAAATTACTTAATAGAGCCGGAGTGCAACGTCCACCTCTACGTAGATGCATCACTGCAAGGATGGGGAGCACACCTCGACAACGAAGTGGCTGCCGGGAAATGGTCGAAACAAGAAATGAATCTGCATATCAACATGCTCGAGATGAAAGCAGTAGTAAATGCCCTACTACATTGGTCTAACATTCTAAGAAACTCAAAATTGATGATCCATACAACTCAACAGTGGCGTTCTACATAAACAAACAAGGATCAACAAGATCTTGGAATCTTCTCGACCTCAGCTTTCAACTATTCAACATAATAGACAATCTGAACATTTATGTGAAAGCATGTCACATTCCGGGAGCCAGGAATGTAATAGCAGATGCGCTATCTCGACCACATCAACCATCCCCAACAGAATGGATGTTACATCCACAAGCGTTCAGATGCATCATACAGACGATAGGATCTCCACTCGTAGACCTATTCCCAACTGGCAACATTCGTCTCTCCAATTCAGGATCCGCAAGCATGGGCGGCAAACGCTCTAAGCATCCCATGGAAAGGACTAAACGCGTATGAGTTCCCTCCGCCAGCGTTAATACAACAGGTATTACAGAAAATCAGGCAGACAAACAATCTACAACTGATTTTGATCGCGCCTTAATGGCCGGCAAGAACGTGGCTTCCCGTTCTCTTACAAGAACTCGGAAAACCAACAACCACAACTTCCAGTTTGGTCGAACCTACTAATTCATCCTCACACCAAGCAAGTTCACAAGTATCCCAGATTATTCCACCTACATGTATGGAACGTATCACGAATTGCTTGTCGAAAAGAGGATACTCCGCCGGAGCAGCGAAAGCAGTTACACTAACTTTACGCAGATCTACTCGTAACTTGTATGACGACAAGTGGCAAAGCTTTGAGAAATATGCATCGAGGAAAGGTTTCACTGCAGTGAAAGCAACACATCCTCAAGTGGCGGAATATCTTTGTCATCTCAGACAAATGAAGAAATTAAAAGGTTCGACATTATCTACATACCTAGCGGCTCTCTACTCAGTTATCACTATGAAGACAGGCGTGAAACTGACGAAAGTGCCAGAGTTACTGGCCTTGCTACGCTCTTTTAAACTGGAAAACCAACAAAGGAAATTTAAAGCGCCGGCTTGGGATCTCAACGTGGTGTTACGACATCTCACCAGTGATGTGTACGGACCACTAGAAAGAACTTCTTACGAATTTCTTACACAGAAAACGCTATTTCTGATCGCCTTGACAACAGCGGCGCGGATGTCAGAAATACATACGCTGGACTTTGAATGAATACGTTTTGACACAACGTCACAACATGGTTCATCTAGGATTGAGGTGGGATTTCATAGCTAAGAATCAACTGCCAGGTCAACCGGACAGACAATTCCACATCCCAGCATTATCTACAATCCTTGGTCCACAGGATATACAAGACTTATCCTTATGTCCAGTCAGAGCGCTGAAAATATATCTACAAAAGTCTAAAACCAGGAGCCTCCAATCCGCACGAAGTTAGAGCATTGGCATCTACACTCGCTCTACATGGAAACTGCTCAATATCCACGATCATGGAAGGGTGTTTTTGGAAATCGGAGACAGTATTTGCTAACCACTACCTCAGAGACATTGCTACCGAGGACGTCTCCGGTATCCACCAGTTTGGACCTCTGGTTGTAGCTCAACAGCTGACGGTCCCTCAAAGGCGCGCTGAGATGTATCTCGCCCTTTTACCGCATGTCATGCAAAGCTTGTACTCCAAGGAATAGAGCTTATAGTCCATGTACACGTCTAGAACAGACTAGCATGAATATTGGACCCTGTACTTGTAAGGAATTACTTGTACACGGATAGGGTCACTGCTCCACTTGATATGAACATCAAGAGTTGGAGTTATTTAAATCCACATGTACGGTTACAGAAGAGTCTGATATATTGTGGTCCCCCAAAATTACCAGATTTCTTTCGACATATGGATCAACAGCAGCAGTGCCATTAAAAGTTCCCATGGGGGTAAATAGGACGTAAATTCATCACTAAGGAATCCAGAGGTGGCTTGACCCACCACCTATCCCGTCGGATTCTACAAACAATAAGCATGAGTCAGGATAATGAAAAATATGTAATTTTCTGAATAAAATTGATATTTTATACTTATCCTGACTCATGCTTATTGCTTGACTCCCTTTCCTTCCGAATGCTAGTGGAACACTTGAATCCCCTTTTGAAGCTCCCTTCAAAAAAGCGGATGTAAAATCACTAACCAGGAGTCACCTCCCTTCCCAGGTTTTGGCGGGAAACGGCGCCACCTGCCTCCCATGCTCTTCACTCTCTCCGTATTTTATAGCCTGACACTGATTTACTGGGAAATCCAGAGTGCCTTGAGGAGAGGTTGGGAGGGCTTACCTCATGAGTCAGGATAAGTATAAAATATCAATTTTATTCAGAAAATTACATATTTGCCACTTGCTTAGCTAAATAAATTAAAATTAAACTTTGATATACAGCAAGTACATATTGGATTGAGCATATAATATTGTTTTACCTCACTTTGCCTGAAGCCCACGTGGGTTTATGTTGACACAAGCCATGAAAGATATTTTCACCAAAATTTAAAATTACAGAGGCCTGAAATGGAAGGGTGTTAGAAGCTACTGGCCTAATGTATCTGAAATGGAAGGGTGAAAACTTTAGAAGCTACTGGCCCAATGTATCTGAAATGGAAGGTTGAAATGGTTAGAAGCTACTGGCCCAATGTATCTGAAAAGGAAGGTTGAAATGGTTAGAAGCTACTGGCCCAATGTACAGTACAACCAGAAATTATTGAGAATTTAAAGATTGTAAATTTTTATATTTTTTTCACTCATTACTCACATATTAAATGTGAATATTAGCAGAACATAACTCCAGATTCAAAGACAGGTGAACAGTTAGTATTTTGTCAAGTCACCATGGGCAGCAATGCAGGCTTCAATTCGGCTGGGCATACTACTGATCAAAGAAGTTAGAAAGACGTGGTCCATGCTGTCCCAATATCGGACCACCTCTTCTTTCATTTCAGCAATATTTGTGAGATTTTTCTTATTGACACTTTCCTTCATAAGTCCCCAAACATTTTCTATTGGATTTAGGTCAGGGCTACAGCTTGGCCAATCTAATAATGTCATATTTTGGGTCCGAAACCAGGCCTGTGAAAGCTTTGAACGATGTTTTGGGTCGTTGTCCGGCTGGAAAATCCAAACATTTCCATAGAACACGTGAGCAGATGGAAGTAAATGTTCCTCAAGAATATCTGTGTACCGCTCACTGTTCATATTCCCTTCAAGTACACAGAGGGGCGTTGCCCCTAACACAGATATGCCACCCCACACGTTAAATTTCGGACTGTACTTTGGGTGCTGATACAAAGGTTTTTCAGTTTGTTTGGTCCAGAATTTCAGTGTATTAGGAAACAGCCACACAGAACTTTCATCTGAGAAAATCAAATTGTCCCAGTTACAATTTCTATGCTGTAAGCACCAGTTCAACCTTCGCTCCTTTTGTTCAGGTTTCATGATCGGTGATGAAATTCCTCGACTTTTCTGCCAACCCATTGCATGCAGCTCAGTTCTAATTGTCTCCTTACAGACAGCCACAGTTCCTCTATCAATCATATCCAGCCTTAAGTTTTCTAAACTCCTTCGTTTGTTTTTAGAAATAAGAATACCAAGCCGCCTCCTGTCACCGGCAGTCAATTGTCTGGGCCTACCTGCGCCTCCCTGGTGCTCAATGCAATATCCATTTGCAATATTTTTCAAAACACGATAAACATTGGACAAAGGGATGCCTGTTCTACTTGAAATCACTTTAGCTGATCTGATGTTCTTGTTATAATTCTCTAAAATCAACTTCCTCTTCTCTAAATCATCAATACTGAGGATCACTGAAAATGTCGTCTGCTAGCAAGTAAACAAAGGGGGATAACTCTTCACAAACAAATGAAAAAGGATTAACGGAGTTGTCTCTCTTGAATGAAACCAAGCACTTGATAGCTGGGCAAGGTTGTTTATACTAGAAATCCAATTAAACATATTCCTAAAATTCTCAATAATTTCAGGTCATACTATATATGAAATGGAAGGTTGAAATGGTTGGAAGGTTGAAATGGTTGGAAGGTTGAAATGGATACTGCCCCAATGTATCTGAAAATTCACATGCTTGTTCACACAAAATATGAGATCTCAATTTGTTCAAGAGGTTTGAATCTGATTTTCACTATGCCTTATTAAGAAAGTTATTTATAGCTACCGGTAATAATCAGTCATTTCTTTGGCCAAAATGTTCTGTTATGTATATATTAGCAGTTAGTTGTCTTGCTCAACATGTACTTCATTTTACGATTATGATGATACAGATCATTTTGACCTGTAGTTCAATTTAGCACTCGAATATTTAAAAATTCTTAAAGTGTATTTTCTCAAAATGAAAACATCTCTGAAACTGCAGTACCAAAGAAGCTGAAGGTGATAACAGTAAAACATTTTTCAAGAGGTTGAATTTGTTTTTCACAGCATCCATGTTCAAAGCTGTGTTTAATGGTCAGCATTCAGGTGGTAGTGAGGCTCAACACATTCCACTGTTTGCCATAGTTTAACTTCAGACGTGTGTCTCACCTTTGCTTTAGGCAAGTCAAGCTGAACCTGGCCATGCTTTTTCCATTATTTCAGATTTTCTTGCTGTACATGTTTTTGTTCAGAGCACTATCTTTCAGTATTTATGCAGAAGCTACTTGAATATATGAAGGCTGCTTTACTAAGGCATCCTTCCTTCTTGAAATTTCAAAGTGTTTACTTCAAATTCAGGTGAGCTCCAGTGATGTTTTTTGTCCTGCTATGACTGATGATCTTATCTAACCTAAATTATTCAATACCCTTGTTTTAGTTTGCTGAAAGTTCACCTGCAACTTCGAGGATTCTCAGTATTTCTGGACATTGATCGATTAAGAGCGGGGAAGTTTGATGAAAATCTGTTATTGAGCATCCATCTCTCCCGTAACTTCATCCTCATCCTAACACCGAACTCTCTCGACCGATGTATTGGGGACAACAACAGGGAGGACTGGGTGCACAAAGAAATTGTTGCTGCTCTGGACAGCAACTGCAACATTGTGCCCATCATGGATGGTTTTGAGTGGCGGCCGCTGGACCAGCTGCCAGATGACATGAGAGGTGTTGTTAGATTCAACTCTGTCAGGTATGTTCATCATGAACTGCATGTGCTTGCAAAATGTTTGATGACATTGTTTTTACACATTTATGCATTACTCTCAATAATTATCATCTTGCTGCCTGAGGGACCACTCACTTTATGACACACCATTATCAAACTGTATCATAAGAGATGGGATTGTTTTCGGTCAGTAACTATACGAGTCCTGTGTGCTCTTGTGTTGTTATCTGACATCCATGTCACAGTGATCCCACCCTAGACTGTTACACAGACACCCCCAAAGCACTGATTGTTATGTCTAATGTTGATGGCATGAAAACTCTCATGATGTCACACTCTGTTGTGGCTGTCAAGGAAGTCCAAAGTAAACTTTGATTCATGGACAAATCTATTGCTGTTCCCCACAATGATTGGTCCAACACGGTTGCTCTTGACGCCAGTGATGTCTTGCACCATGTTTACATCAGACATTGTAGTTGAGTCTGACACCTGTGATGCTCATCTCCACTTTGAGGTACTGATGTCTTGTGCTCTAGTTGTTACCTAGATCAACATCAATGCTCTCCCTTGTGTCGATTGTACATAGCCGTTCCTGATGTAACAGATGTCACATCTAAAAAAAGAGTTAGAGATTGAAACAATACCAGACCAACTTTCTGTCTGATTATTATCACACAACACCCTGACATGTACATGTTTTTTAATTTTTCCATGATCATGTTCACATGTACATCATGAAAAACACATGCACAAAATTGGCGTTTTTTCACAAAAATTATAACACATTTTGAATGAATTATCATTTCTAAATCCATATACACTCATACAACCAGGTTCTCCAAATCTCCCTAAAATAGAATATCCCCTAAATGAATTTCAGTAATTTGCAAAGTTTGAGTAATAAGTGTATTACAATTGTCACTGTTAGTTATATAATCAAATACACTTGTACTGAAAATAGTATCAAACATGCAAGATACTCAATTGTTAGATATGTTTCAAACTACACTCCTAATAACAGCTAAAGAGGTTCATTTAGTAATATACCTATGTTTTTTTAACCAGATGGGTGCATGACTATCAGGATGCCTGTGTGGACAAGCTGGAGACTTTCCTCACACCAGGAAGTGGGGTCAACGGGGGCAAACACACGAAGCCTTTGTCCCATCAGGCCTCCACACAGAGCAACATGTCATCACCATCCCAGGATGACGTGCACCTCCGTCCAGCAGACTGTTTGGCAATCAAGTCACACACCAGTTCACACTCTCTGCATGACCTTGTATGACAATGGCTGTTATAGGAACTTGATAATGACTCTCCATAATCTTGAAAGCCATACCAACTATAATGTAAGGAAGTACAAAACTTCATGGTTCATACAACCACGTGATTTTGAGACAATCAACTTCTTTTTACAAGGCATATGAGTAGATTTTTTCATGACAAGCTACTTGTTTATAGAAGAATCACACACCAAATAAACACGACAAAAGTGTTGTCTTTTGTTGGGAATACCACTGGCTTTTTGTCTGTTTAACCCCCTGGCTGCCGAGTTTTTTTTCAGGCGCACATTTTCATACGGTTTGAAAAGTGATCGTTGTGCGAGAATTGCGCTCGCGTGGTCCTGGATCTACGTACGGCTATAAAATTACACAGAAATGTAGAATATTAAATTTCCTATCCGTTGGTATAAATATAAGTGCAACTACCTCGGCGGTTTGAGAAATAGACACTGCTAAATGTTGTCCAATTTTTTTTGCGTTAAAAACAGTAATTTTATCCGCTTTTATCGCGCACCGATAAAAGCACTGTGCTACTGAATTTTTAATGTGGCATCTTTACGGAAAGTGTTAGCGAAGAAAATACAGCTTGATATCTGAACGACATAAGTGTATATGAATTGGGTTTATGTGCTTGTGCATAACGTTATACGCTCAACATTAAAATGACTCGCAATAAATGTCAAAATGGATTTTCTTTTATGACGTCAAACGGCGACAGAGAGGTCATACACATATAATGATAAGGGGCATAACTCCGTTATGCGTAACACTAGGTCCATGTAACTCAGATCACTTGGAGAGAATTTGTTGTGGATAATGGACGCTATATTTTCGTTATTTTATGTTCATGGTGAACCAAACTATCCCAATTCAAAGTTCCCCAATGTGAGCGGATGCAGTTTGGTAGTTTCACAATTTACAAGAAAAATGACAACGTATTACAGGTGAAAGCACGTAATAGCGATTTGGATGGCCCTATCCGATATATAAGTTAGTTCTTAGATTCCCATATTGTCCTGTTTGTGTAGATGTATTTTTACTAATTTTGCATCGTTATTACCAGAGTACTAGCCATATCTTCAAATGTAATGAAATTGCTGAAAATAATACACCATTTTAGTTGACGTCATTGCTTGTTTTATGCATTTTGCGGCGACGGGAAAAAGACGACACTGGTATGCTGTTTAGTACATATCTCACCTAATTTCCTTTAATTGTGTGAAAGGTCTTGGCTTCTATGTCAGAATTTAAGACTCTTTAGACAAAACATAAAATGACTGATTTTTCCATTTAAATAGTGTCCTGAATATATCAACAATTAGACAGTTTGACTGTGTATCTTTTTGTGAGAAACACGCAGCACCTGTTTGGCATCAATTTAACGTAAATGAAAAATAACATTTCACAACACCGAATATTTTGTTTAGGATAAGAATTTTCTGATTATGTAGCTATTTCTCTTCATAAGTATGCATTGGAAGATGCAAAAGATAGCTTTTATATATGGGACTAGTAATGCGTACTATATATTAGAATATGGATGTAAGATTTGTCCAAATTAAGACATGACATGGTTTATATATTTTTAAACAATTTTCAGATATAAATATAGTTAGAGTTTGATATCCTGTCATCACAATATTTTTAAATCGAATATGAATTGATTATATTATCGAAAACAATGATAGTGAATCATAAAACGTTTCCGACAAAAACGCCACCTGGCCAATCAATTTACATCATTGTTTTCTCTATAAACCGACACACAAATGTGCAAAAAACAAGACAATTCCTTTAAATATATGTGTGCATATACATTTCATACCATATATAAATCATTTTCATTAATATTATCAGTTTTACTTATAAGGTTGAATTAAATCGCCGCTTCATTAACCTGTTCATGTGAAACTGCAATATTAGTCCAAATGCATTGAATATTGTACATCATCGGAACTAACGCAATTGCAGTTATGGCTACGCTTTGATCTTCTAACACTTGTGTAAAGGTTTAGAATATGGTGTATTGCACTAAATATGTCAATTTCCTATGTAAATATGATTCAAACAATCAAAAACTTTCAAAGAATAAAGCACCGTAAACCCTATAATGCATCGTATGATATGATATTGAACAAGGCTAAATGTGGATACTGAAGTCAGTTTCATGAAAAAGTATCTGAACTATACGCAAAAATATACACCATAATACTGACAGTGTAATCGGAAGGATTGGGCGATTGTGTTTACTCTTGTTCAACCGACCTTCACCTCAAAGAAATTGCCTAATATGTACAACAATGTTGACGTGATGACATCACTACCGCTGACCGATTTCTTACAAAATGGCGGCTTTGCTGACAAGGGTACACAGGATTTTTGCGAGGACCCTTCCATTGATTCAGGGATCGCTTGTTCATAAATATGAGATGTAAGTAATCAGAATGATTCTGACTATCTGTGTATTGTTATATGTTTTATCGTTTTCACTAAAAGTAAGAGAAAAAGACAGAAATCCAGATAATTACCGTTGTCGTTCTGCGTGATTTTCCGTCAGTCATGGCGTCACGCTTTGCACGGAAACTTTGACAATTTCTTATGAATTATCAAATCATTGCATTGTATCTATTTATAATTTCCTATTTCTTGCTACGATACTCTTTCCATGCATATTCCAAAGGTATTGAGCCATTGCAAGCAATGAATAGACGGATGAATGTTGGAAAATTTCAGAAAATGCTACACAGTGTAAAATAGGTTTTGTCTTTGTTTACATTTCAACCAGCGCAGTCTTTCGAGCACAGCGTTCGTTTTCACACCAAATATGTTTCGATCTCATTTTATCTAGACAGTTGGCATTGGTGACAAAGACCACTTGCAGTTTGAGTCTAAAATGTATGGGGAGTTTATTGATGCATTTTTCGAAGCTGAATATGAAATATACGTGATGTAATATGTCTCAATACCGGGCCTTCAGCTAAGCGGATTTTGTAAACACTATCCAATATGGCGGAAAGCCTCTCACGCTTCGGTAAGTAAGTGCATTTTCAAAACATCCCAACCGATTCTAGATTCATCGGCAACGCTTTCAGAATTTTACTTAGCGATTTCATGTAAAACTGATATGAGTGATCATGAATATGTTATTTTTGAAATTCAATACTCCCAGTAATTATCCGGTTTTCACATTTCAAAACATACAGCAAATAACGCTGTGAATCGCGATTTCGTACTGTGTCAAAAATGGCGACATTTTGGATGAAGCTTATTTTGAAAGGTCATTTTCAGCACTTGAACTTTGTCTAAAATAATAGTGGATGGTATCAAGAAACAGGAAATTTCCCGAAGAATTCGAAACTGTGAAGTGTATTTGTGTGCGTGGGATATTTTGATTTTTATTCGACTTGAAATTGAGGGTTGAAGGGGAAGGACATATATGTCCCTGTGGCATCCAGGGGGTTAAGAAATGTTCTAATATGGTTCACAACTGATTATTCAAAAGCTTCTTCACTAATGTTATTGTGCTATATTTCAGAGTGGAGGCAGAGTGCACAAAAGTTAAAATATAGAATAATAGTATAGTTCCTTGCTGTGACTATCCTTATTAAACATTTATGCACAGACATACTTCTGAAACGAAAGGTTGATTTGATGTATATCATGAATTCATGCAAAATAATACTATGTAGGCAAATAGGTGGATAGCATAATGGTTAACAGTAAACCTAAGTTTGCATCATTTTGTATCATCATACAACTTACTGCTATTTCCCTCCCTCTTCAATCCTTTAGAACAACCAGAATGTATGTCACCATGAGATGTGCTGCTATATGCATGTGTCTGTGAAAACAGGCAGAGAGTTTCAAGCCTGACAATACATTTACTGACAAAGGCTTTGGGATACCCGTGTGATATACAGCTCAGTGTACACTAAAACATGTAACATCCTTCCTCTTGATACGTTTGCTTTACTTGTACAGAACTTGAGTGTATGTATATATCAAAACAAACACTAGACACAGCAGCCACACTTATGTTCTTCCTCTTTACTTGCTGTAGAAACTGGAGAGAGGAGGCTCGTTTACCTTCATGTATCCTGTTCAGGGACAAACAGAGAATAGCCTATAAGTTTATCTTCTTCATGATTCTTCAGGATCTTGTTTGGTAATCTCACTGTCTCTGGGTGGAGTAGGTTTACGACTTTTCTGAGGGTGATGTTGTAGTATTTCTCTTGTGCCAACTGATTCTGATTGGACATGACAAGTTTTACCTTCATTTTAAACATCCTCATATATTCTATGCTTACCGGTAAGTCTTATGTTTACTGTAGGGCGCATTCTTCCCACGCTCAATATGTCCTGTCTGCCTAAAGAAGTCCTTCTAGTCCTCTGTTTTCCTTAGTAGAGGATGAGGGGAAGGTTGTAGAGTTATGATCTGCCTCCAATCAGTTTCTGTACTAAGCTTGTGTTCAAACCCTCTCTTGGTGTGTTGCTCAGAGTCAACAATCCAGTGTAAGGATCCTCATTATCTGCCTGAATTTCTTGCCAGACTGTGACCTTGATTGGAGAGTTCATAAGTGCAGCTCCACTTCTCACTTAACTTAACTCTCACAGCTGGATTGGGTTCCTCCTTGTCTTCTGCGGTATGATGTTTGACCTTAATTTCTGGTGTTGTGGTTGTGGCATCCGGCAGGATGTAAGAGTCTTCTGTGATCAAGTTGTTCCTTCCTTCAGTGGAGAGGAGATCAGTACCCAAGCTTTGCCCCAGACCTGCCAGAACTTGATGAATGTACAGCATGTCAGTATATTAAGGTCAGATCAACACTACTAGTGGAGTCTTGTCCTTGGGCCAGCTGCCATGATAGTTTGCTTCAGTGTGCATGCATAGTGTCTCATGTTTCAGGGTGGGTAGATTTGGTGTTGGCACTTGTCTTTGACATGAGGAATGTGAGATTATTCATTGTGACACGTTGTTCGGCTTGTCATGTAAAGTGCTCAAAGATTTCGAGTATGAGAGACGTGAAATGAAAGATGCCGTGAAATGAGTTTGTCACAATTAAGACCAGGGGCCAGTGATCTTACAGATGTGAAATGGTGACTCTTTTGAAGTACATATGCTGCAGCCAGTGTTTCCTTCTCTATCTGAGCATAGCCTCAGTGTCAGCAAGAGACCTACCTGTGAAAGCCTCTGGCTTACCTTTTTGTAACGATAATAAGGGCAGTGAGGGTAGCCT